AACTAACCCTCCATTGTTCTGCTTTACAGCTAAAACATAGAAAAATTGAGTTATAAAAGTAAGAAAGAAACATTCTCTTGTTCCAGCTTCACACACGTGAGGATTTGCTGCTTTTATTTGTCTCTGTGACAATATTTCTTTGGGTTTTGGCCCGTTGGTCGGACAAAACAACGTACAAACCTTGCTTAGCTCCAGCTTCAGGTTGTATGGGTCGCTCCCGTAGTGGAACAGAGACTTTTTAAACCTTTCAATAACCCGTCGTTTGATGCTGTGGTGTGGAGCTGGCGGAAGCTGGAGGTGAAAAAGACAAACAAAGTTAATATCAACATTTTATATTAACAATTAAAGTTGATATCAACATTTGATATTTACACTGAAGTACAATCAGTGCTGTCAGTCACAGATCAGTCCCGAGGTAGTCGAATACAGACGCCAGTGGTGTTGCAATCTGCAACTCCACCAATAGATGCCACTAAATCCTACACGCTGGTCCTTTAAGTTCTTGATGGATTTGTAACAGAATTAATAATAATAATTAAATCCTCTTTAAATATAAAGTTTAGAAAACCAGAAGCACCAGATCTGCACAGATGTGTCTGCAGCGTTAAACTCAAGTTTGATAAGATCGAACAAAATTAACAAAAAGAAATGTTGTTTTACTGTACTTGAGTGATGTAAATGATTTTGTGCAGCTGCACAAGGAGCCTCTGGATGGGATCATCAATCTGCCGAACCTTCTTCTGGGAGATACAGATCCCTGCTGACACTGAGGTGAGAGCAAAACCAAACACACAGACTGACTGAGGGTCAATAAACAGGACGGACACATTTTATACAGAACGTCTGCTCTTTGGGTTGGTCTGTTTGTGTAGTAGCACTCCCATCAGGATGAGAAGGTACCTGGTCTTGGTTTAATCTTTGCAGCAGCATAATCCTCCCTGTAGACGGGTAAAATGGAAATAAATTGTGTCAGATATGATAAACTGTGTTGTTTGTTTGTGCATTAACAAACCTTTTTTACATGACTAATTAATGATACTGACCACACAGAAATACTGTATATAATGTGAGATTTTTCACTTACCCAGATACAGTTTGGTCAGGTATTACACAGGCACTGGACTTTAAACCTTCAATCAAAACACAACAAGCCAAAAGATCAAATTATCTTAGAAAAAAATCCACAACAAAGTGAAAAACTTAACCATGAGCGACAACAAAAGGAAACAAATCATCTGGCAGTTAAAATCCCAGACTGCTTCCCCTTGATTACAATGAACAGGATGACTTATTCATTATGGACAGCAGCATTCTTCCCTAAATAAAACTTCCCAACCTCATGATGAATATTCTCACAACTGGCAGAGAACTGACCGTAGTGTTTTCCTTTGAAAGCAGCGTTGTCGGTTTTGGTATCGCAAGGTTCAACGTCACCGTCTGAGGCATCATCTAAAAACACACAACATGATTATTCACAACATGGATTCATTTTTTATGTCAAATCTTGTGTTAAATTCTGTGCAGTATGAAACACAGTCACCTTGACTGATACTCTGCTGGCTGAGGTTTGAACTGCAGGCGGCAGAGGAGGGTGGAGTTGGAGATTCAGTAATCATTAAGGATTTTTCCTGCAAAAAGTGCAGCACTTATTGTGAAATACCTTTTTGTACAACAATAAATATAATCTAAACAGTCCTCGAGGACGTACCTGAGAGAGGTTTAAGTGGGAGCAGTTCATCCTGCTTTTGTGCCTTTCCAGGAAGTACGTCTGCGCTCGTTTCCTGTCTCTCTCTGCTCTTCGTTCCAGTGCATTCTGGGAAGTGTAGAGGCTGTCCATCAGCCTCATCATGAGGTCGGAGATCCTGGAGCTGACAGCCACAATATCCGGCCGCTGGTCTGCATCTGGACTCAAACACCTGACAGGACGTCCCATAAAAGAACATAAGTGGCTTTAATATTAAATTAGTTTTAATCTATACGAATAAAAACACACAATTAATACTATGAATGGGATTAAATAAACGATTATGCAAGTCATTGTCAGTACGGGATTCAGGATTCAGTACTAACTAATCGACTTTTATTTTGAAAAACACCTTGATATCAATCATTTCAAAACAAAAGCCTCACCATCTGATCATGTCTGTGACTCTCTCTGAGTAAGCTCCTTCTTTAATCGGCTCGTAGACGGCTTCGACAATCTACCGGCACAGAATAAGAAGCAAAGAACATTAACAGACGACAGAGTGTGTGTGTGTGTGTGAGTGTGTGTGTGTATGTGAGTGTGTGTTTGACTGTGTGTGTGAGTGTAACCTTGCTAGCCAGCGACAGCATGTTACTGCTGTAGAATGGAGGCTGTAAAGCGGCCATCTGGTAGAGGATGCAGCCCAGAGCCCAGACGTCGGCCTTCTCTCCATACGGCTCGCTTTTCACCACCTCTGGACTAACACACACACACAAATATTTATATCTTAACTTGTGAGGGACCCTCATAATAATGCACTCCCTAGTGTCCGACCCTGTGTAACCTAAACCGAATCTCAATCGACCTTAACAGGCTGTAATAACATAAAATAACAGCTCTGCCATACTGCTTTAAAGGGATGGTTCACTCAAAACACATTGATTTTCTAACCTACTTCTATGTCTAGATAGTTTTGGTTTTACTTACATTTTATACTATACAACTATTTTATACATATGTTCTTTATGCTGTACTCAGTTGTATAAGAACTTCATTGAAAGAAGAGCAAAGAACGCCACTGAAGGCTTTTTGCTTGTCTCCCGAGTTTGGTAAGAGTTTGACTACGTTATATGGTTTGTTGTTATGATTGTTTGAAGATCGCCCGTGATAGAAAGTGATAGACAGATCTAATCAGCTGTGCCTGCCCTTTTCCAGTTTCCAACAACGACTTCACAGATGGTTTTGTATACAAGTTAGACGTCACCATTAGACGATTTAATTGGAACTACTTTCCACCAAAGAAAATGTCTCAATGAAAACGCCTTACCCGACCCCTTCTAGCAACATCTAGAGTTGTAGTTGCAGACTGCAACTCCCAATCGCTATCACCCTCCCCCCTTCAAGGCACAAGGAGAAACAGTTATTCGAAATGCGTGATACAACGTTACATGGCCCGTATCCTAGAGAGCCAGATGTTATGGTGTGTCCAATCTGGGCTACTGTAGAAACATGTAGAAAGGCGACCCACGATAACGATTCCTTTATTCAGGTGACTATACACTGATGGAAACATAGTTATTCATATTATATTCCATTTCGGCCAGTAAATAATTCACATTGGACCCTTTAAACTGACTAATTTAACCTAAAAGCAGCTGCTCAGAATGAATTTCCTCACCAGGAGTAAAGGATGGTGCCGACCACTGATGTAAGCTTGCTGTTCTCCTGTTTCTGCTTAGCAAGGCCGAAGTCAGCTTCAAGAGGAAGAAAAACAAAGGTTCAACTTTTATAATAGGACAAGACAGGGAGGGTGATGTGAATGAAGATGATGTGGTGTCTGTGGAAACTGTAAGTTGACGCTCACTGATGGTGACTTTGTCCTTTTCCCCCAGCATGATGTTGTTTGGTGTGAGGTCGCGGTGAACTATTCTCTTTTCCTTGTGCAGGTACCTCAATGCCAGACACATCTGAGGGAACATGGAGAAGAATAAGTGATCAAGTTATTAAAAGGATGTTAAGATGTTTCCATTCAGTCAAAAAAATGTCTCTCATCTTTGGCAGTGGAAACTGTTTACATTCATATTTTAGGTTATTGGCAATGGGAAGAAACAGACCAGACTGGAATTCCTCAAACGCTTGAGAGTCAAAACACACTCGGATCTTTTGGGAAACATTCTTGTACTGCAGTGGTTTCCAACTTTTTTTGTCCATATCTCTATCTGATGAGGTCAAGTACCCTTTCATCAACACTTTCATCAACATCAATTCATGTTCAAAATGTGTTCATTTGAATTGTTTTAACTAGACGTTATTTAACACTATTAATTATATAAATGTGGATATTGTTAAAATGTTTTTTTCATACAAGATATAAAAATCCTTCAAAATGTCGATGTTTAGACTCTTTCTTTTCAGTTTTGGTTAAACATCTACTATTTGTCATGTGACAGTGTTGGTTGGTTGATTGGTTGGTTGGTTGGTTGGTTGGTTGGTTGATTGATTGATTGGTTGGTTGATTTATTGGTTGATTGGTTGATTGGTTGATTGGTTTGTTGGTTGGTTGGTTAGTTGGTTAGGTAACATTGGACTACCAGACTGACCTTTCTTAAGACATGTGTTAGGAAATCAAAATTTATACACTGTAAAACCAATAATTTACAAGTTTGAGAGTTGTTACCTGTATGAATATATTCCAAATTTTGTCTTCTGTGAACTGCTGTTGCTTCTCCTTCAGAGAGTTAAAATGGTCAGCCAGTGGCACTCCCTCGATCAACTCCATCACGATATACAGCTTGTCGCCTAAAATGAACAGTATGATGAAGATTTTTTTGTTGTTTTCCTTCCTTACAATAGCTGAGGGAGCCAGGAAAAATAATGATCCTCACCTTCCAAAAAAGTCTTGTAATATTTAACAATGTTTGGGTGTGTCATCTAGAGAAGAACAACAAAGGAACATATAAGCAACTCCAAATATGGCTGTACTGGTTCAGATAGATTACTGAATTGTGTTTTATTGAGTAAAATTAAAATGTGCCTGTTCTTTGATGATCGTGAGCTCAGAAATTATTTTCTCCACGTTACTGTCCCTGGACTTCTTGTCTTTGCCAAATGCCGGGTTATGGAGGTTCACCTCCTTCAGAGCCAGGAGGTTCTGACCACTCTGCTTTCTGACCTGTCATCGGGTATATTTATTGGAACCACCAGAAGCAAGAGGTCACAAAGAAGCCAAATTGACCCAAAACCACACCGCCGACTGCAGATGCTGTCAGTTTTAAGTATGTTCATTGTACCTTAAAGACACTCCCAAAGGCCCCGGTGCCCAGATGGTCCAGTATGGAGTAACCGTTGATGACTTTAAGGGGAGGTCGGTTCTGGTCCACAGCCTCTATGCTCTCTCTCAGACTGTCCAGTTCCTCGTCCTGCATTACAAAACACACTCCATCCATTTGCAAAGTAAAGAATCCTCCTTGTCAATCTGCATTGTTTTGTTTTTATTAATATTTCTTTTTACTTTACAGCCCAAAACCAGCTGAATAAACAGATGAATCCATTTAGAAGCTGTATTCTTACAGTGTAGAGTGAAACTTTGGTTTGCAGCCCCTCGTAGGCCGTGAGGTCCCGCACGTAATGTCCAACATCAATAAACAACTCAAAAAGGTCTGTGGGAAAGAGTCTGAAATGGATAAAAGATTACATAACAGCATTAGAGAACATTCTGAGAGATTTATTTCCAAAACAGACATCCAACAGTAGCCACACGCAAATGGTTTAAGTATGACATTATGTTATGGTTATATATGTTTTCTTTCTAAAATAAATATATATATTATGAATACACAGTATTATATATGTTGTAACATCACCTCTTAAACAAATGTCTGTTTCTTTCCATGCTAAAGAGAAACCGGAGGGTCCGAAACACATAGCACTGCCAGTATGGAAACAAATGTACAAATATGTTACAACGTCTTCATTTCCATTATACTGTCATTTATTTCATACATGAAGTCATATACCTGTAAAGATGTGACCTTTGGCCCAGAGTTTTGTGGTAAAATCAACTTTGCGATAATATAGACCCCATTTTCCTGAGAAAAGAAAGACAAAATGAATGTGTGCAAATTTACAGGTGGACTATTAATTCCCATCCTCTCAACTGTCCTGTTCTGTGAGTCCTTGCCTGCACAATGTGGTGAGCAGATGTGTCATCCAAACTAAGCTCAGTCAGAACTGTACAGCAGGCTGGAAAACAGATTAAAGAGGATATGACTTAATTTAAGAACTCATACATTCAATATTATAGTCTCAGACATTCCACTGAACAGCTGTGAACATCAACAACTCGCTCCCCAAACCACAGAAAGAACAAAGGCTGGAAACACTGATGCCTTTAGACTGTAAAATTCACTGTTCCTCTGCAGATACTTACTGGGAAAGCATTTATGTTTTTTAACCAAATTAGTTACATTTCATTATGGTTTCTTTAGACATTCGAAAACAGAAAACTTGCAACCTTTTTCTCCTTAATCACAAATACAGTAAGTCAAATCTCAGCGGATCCTCACTTCAGGAAAAAAACTGTTTATATTCTCAGCAACTGACTCCTCTGGGGGAAACATTTACTGCCCTTTTTTATTATTATTTCATTATTAACAGCACAAACTGGGTGATTTCTAACTCTCAAGAAGATTTTGTGATAAGCTGAACAGTCGCTGACCTGACTGCAGGGCCATGGTGTTGTCCACCTCCTCCTGTGGGCTCAGCTCCTCTCTGATGTGCTCTCTCTGGATACGGCCGGCTGCATTGGCGCTGGAGAGTGTCTCGATGGACGAGCGGTCAGAGACGTACTGCCTGTCACTGTTAAGGTTATTTTGTATGTCACTATACAAAATAATGTAAATAAGCTTTGCCATTTGTTTTTTCTTAAAGCCTGATAACTGAAATGTCTTGTGATGCTGGTTGTAGTTGCATCCTCCGTCATAAGCTGTGACGGGGCCAATGGCCAGAATCACTGGATACTACAATTCCCATAATGCAACTATCAGCATAATTACATTAGACCTTGCATATCTTTCAAATTCTAATTGTTTGTTTTCCCAAAAGTCTCCCAATCTGAGATAACCCCGATGACATCAGGGTCTAATGAAAAATGCTATCAAGTTGCATTATGGGAATTGTAGGATGTGTTGTTTTTGGAGCTCGCCCTATACTAAAGACTAATAGGTCAGCATATCTTGGTGTCTGTTGGTTCGATTTTCGTCATTAACCCTTGTTTTAATCTGTCTCTTGTGAGTCCCTCAACTTTATGGAAGTGCTACACTAAATCTCCAGAGTGAACCTTTAAACCACAAATCACTTCAATGTGGACAACGCTGTAGCTCAAGCACAGATGGGTAATGATAATAAAGATTTGGTTGACACACATTAGAGAGACTGTTTGAACTTTGATTCATATGATGTAATATAAACATCAAATACACTTTAATAGCTCAGTGTCACAAACCTGTTGAGCAGCCGGAGAAGCTGCTGCACCCCGCCCCAGCTCCGGATCTCTGTCCTGGTGTCGGGGTCCTCGCAGAGCTGGACCAGGACCCAGGCGACACTCCACAGCAGCTTCAGGTGCTGGCCGTAAAGCAGGCTCAGCAGCACCGGAAGACCCTCCAGCTCCCTCACCTGGTCCCTTATCTGCCGCACCGGGGACAGGAGCCTCAGCAACTCCGCACTCATCCTGGAGGAAACACTAGGTTCAGTCCAGCCAGGCTTGTTTCCATGTTTTTATTGTGTTTGCTGTTGTTACTGTTTATTGTTTCTAGCTGGCTGTAAATTAAGATTATTAGTTTATTACTCAGTATTCAAGAGGGCCACGTGTGTAATGTATCTGTGCAGTTTCAGATGTGACGACATGAGAAGAGATGAGAGACGGGATGCAGCAACTTGATTGGTTTGTCCAGTTTTTTTGTGTTATATCAGCACTAATGAATGAAGGTTCCCGACAGTGACAAACACATCAACAAACAAGTGATTTCTAACCTCTTTGACAGCAGTTCATGTTCCTGCAGTATTACAAGTAGGTTATCCACTATCAGTAGCTCGCCAATATCCTCCTTGCACTCTGGGCTGCAGAAGAAACAAAAAAGGCTTGCAACAGATTAAATCATAAATGTATTTAATGCATTAAATGAAGTATTTGTTTACCTCTCAGCCAAAGTTGTGAGTGCCAACAGGGCTCCCAGCAGCACACTGTTATCTGTGGTGGAGAGGAGCTTCACCAGGGTCTAGAAATGGTTTAATTAATGAGACACACAAATTCTTTGACCACAATAAAGGAAGAATTTGTGATGATAAACTGAGAGCAGAGAGTCTCATGCTACAGGAAATGCATGACACTCTACAAAAGTGAGAGACAAGTGAGAGTAAATATTTGCACCCTGGAAGCTGCAATGTTCACTGTCACCCACAATATCAAGTACTGGATGGAGAAAGTAACACTGACAACTTTTCTTTTCTTAGTTATTATTGAGCTTAAAATATCATTATGTCAAAGTCATGTGGGTGACATTACGAGACGTTGTTAATATCTATAGAGTTTGTCCTCTGTAGAAGATCAATGTCTGTATGGATTCTTAGATTATGAGATATCTTCACATTTATTTTTCTAACGGCTGTATTTTTACACAAATGTCTTTACTTTCTACTACTTACACTTTCAAAACAGGCTCATTACTCCAGTTGTAATTCATTTGAGGGGAATTATATATTATTATGACAGGCACAACATGAAGGAAACGACGTAAAAGTCAAAACAAACAAGAGACTCGACCCTATTTGTTAGCTTTGCACAGAAACACCTGTAAAAATCTCCTTCAGAGAAACCACAAGAGTACTTTTTACTTTGAGTACATTGTAGAACCTGTAGTCTTTAGTCAAAAGGTAATTTTTACTCAAGTATCTGTACTTCTACTTGAGGAATGTGTGAGTTTCTGCTGGTGGACAGACTGATCAACATTGTCCCCCAGTGCTACATAAAGCAATAACTAAAATGTAATATAATAACTAAACAATGAAAACAAAAAATATGCTTAAATTGCAAAAAACAGAAATATAAATAATATGATAAAAACAAATTAAAATCAAATAAACCCTGTTTTAACAGGTAGTGAGTGACCAGTAGTGCATTACTTTAGAGCACCTACAGGAATAACTTCCTTGTTATGGCCTCAGGTTTGACTCATGAATATGACCTGAATAGCACACAATCACAGATAACCTTATCACAACTTATCGCTTACCCTGTGAGCGCCGCTCTCGGTGACCCAGACCCTCTGATTTTCAACGGCAGACAGCTTCTGAAACATGTCTGCAGAGCAATCAGCAAAGTTGATGAGGCCGCACTCAAGGCTCACATTATCAGTGTCTTGATATGATCTACTCACAGGTCATTGTGACCAGCTTCTGCACAGCAAACGCCTGTTCACCGCAAGATATGTACACGGCAGTGACCGACTCCATGTGCTGAAAGAGAAGCGACGAGGACGACATGTGGATAAAATCACAAAACAAAAGACTGTGCAGGCATGTGGGAAAAATCTTAGAGAGCATTTACCCTGGCAAGTAAATTGACGCCTTGGAGCTGATGGAGGATTTTCTGAAAGAAAGCAGTTAAAGAGGCATTTATACAGTGGAAGAATTCCTACAATACATAATAAACCCTTAAAAAAGCTGCTTTTTTTCAAGCTGTACCTGATGATGGGGGTCTCTGATTAATAACCGTAGGCAGATCAGAACTCTAAGGGCAGACTCGGGCGGTGCGTGGTCTATCCATTCGCTACAGAAGGAGTGAATATTACATAGTAACGACAGCCTTTATGTGACATGTTAAAGAATTTTAAGGATATTTTACCTGCAGAGTCGGTTCTTGACCAAAGACACGAGGATGTCAGAGAACAGCGTGTGCAGTGGGTGGCTGCTGAAACATCTTTGGTCTCTGTATGTGATGCTGAAATATGAATGAATCATAAAAAAACACAATTCATGAACTTCTGTAGCTCTGTTGAGTCTGATAGGGTGTAATACAGGTTGAATCATGGGTGTTTAATGGGCACATATAGGGCTGGAAATCAGGCAGAAATATGTCTATAGTATCAGACAGCTGGCATCTAATATCTGTCCAGATTTAAAATCTTGTTCACTTATTCTATGATCACATTTTGATGATTTAAATTTAAAATGTTGCCGATTTCAGACTTTTTTACTGGCTTGTGTTTAGACAACATTTAACATTTGAGACCTTTGGCTTCTCTTATTAAATGATTAAACAATTTAAGAAGGAGAACGGGATTGTTTTGTATCAGAAACAAAACTCAAGAACCACAAAGACCCAGTCACAGTCACATTTACACACTGTAGGCAAACGCCTGCTCGCCACTTGTTTGCTTCAGGAAGTCCAGCTGATTATAAGTGCAGGAAATATGGGAGGTGAAAGGGTAAACTGAAGTTTTGGATAAATGTTTAGGGATGTTAAACTGGGGCCCTCCTTCCCCCTCCGGCTCCGACATAATGTCAGAAAATATAAAAACCTGCGACAAACATATTTTTCTAGTTGTTTCATATGAATTTAAACTACTCTTTCATATACAATTAAAATAAAAACACAATTCTATTTGAAAACAAAAAGAAAAAAATCTGTTTTTTGGAAACTGCTAAGTATGATTTAAGTAATGTTGTTCCTAAACATTAAAGTGGCCCTCGTGTGAGAGGAGTGGCCCCAAGACAACCTGACTTTAAGACAACCAGCTTAAAATGAATTATAGCAGCTTATTCACTGTTTATGAATTTAAATTAAGTTTTAGATCATATGTAGGTCAAAAACATCAATTATTTTGACAGACATTATGATTCACAATAAGTGTGGGAATGATAACTTTTGCATTATAAATTACATTTTCACTGAAAAACAACTATTTAAACCATGATGATGTGACATTTGTTTGGGGGGCCTGTACTGATTTGAAGACCAGGGAACATCTGCAGCACCACAGATTGAATCTTACTCTGGGCCATGTTGCAATAAATAATAATAAAGAACAAAAAAACGACAGAAAACATCTTGACAACCTGAACTTTTCCAGTTCAGAGGCCTCAGTGGCGGTGTCGCTCTCACTCCTCTGTCTGCTGGTGTCTTTGGGAGGATGCGGGCCCTGTGATCTGCTGCGTGCTTTACTGTGAGTCACCTGCAAACACAGAGAGTCTCGTACCACAGCATAAACACAGACCATGGAGGAAACGTGAGCCGAGTTTGTGTCGTTATCAAAATGTCTAGACGCGCTGCCTCACAGTGGCGTCATGTGTTGTTGTTCACCTCTTGTCTGGAGCTGCTTCTGACAAGCAGGGACTGAAGCCTCCTGAGATCATGAGATGTCCTAGAAAACAGGCTTATCACTTGATTTCTGCCATATCAGGAGAGTACATGTTATATTTTATACCAGACTCAGCTTACCTGCTCTGGATTCCTCTGGACTTCAGGGGCAGTTTTTCTCCTTGTCTCACCTTCTTAACTGGATTGGACATTTTCAGCTCCCCCTCTTTGTTTCCATGAGTAACCTGCAGTTCAACTTCACACATTTGATCTTTTTTTAGTTAGTTTGCATTTAAAAAAAACAACCCTGCAGAGCAAACATGGCTAGCTCCTGTTACTGTTGTTGCTGAAGGAAGCGTTGATCTGAGCTGGTTGTTTGTCAGGTGGCTGTTTTAAGACAAAGGTCAAAGGTCTCTTACCTGTCCTCCCGCAAATACGAAATACGCGACGCTACACACGAATTATGCTTCATTGAATATCCTCAGTCGGCGGTTCAGGCGACATAGTGTTTATTCTTTAAGCAGCATACGCCCCTTACAGCGACAAATACGAGGAAACGATGCTCAGTTTCAGCGCGTTTTCAGCCAATCACAGTGCGCGGTGTTGGAGAGTCCCGGTTGCCATGGATACAACAGACGCTATTCGCATTCCGTGACACACACACACACAC